AAAAAAATTGTATTGCCTCCTTTTTTTTTTTTAAAGATTTATTTACTTATGCATACAGAACTGGGATACAGGTCAGAGGTGCAGGGGCGGTGAGAGGATTTACCAGAGACAGAGTGGGGAACAGAACAGGCAGATCTATGAAGTAACACTGCTGAGGGGAGCAGCAGGTGGGTCAGGAGAGGTCTGCGGAGCCATGTGGGTCACCTTAGGGGCGGGGATTGAACTCACGCTGAAGAGGCTACGGCCAGCTTTACAGTGTTGCGTCCTAACTGTTGTGCCACCAGGGAGGGCCCTATTTTGATAATTTTTAAGGAATTTTCTAGATCGTTTGTCTGGTCACTTTAAAAGTAAGGCCTATGGAATCATTTCAGGGTCTGCATTTGCATTTGTGTTTACAATGGAAAACAACACTGATTGCCTCAAACCAGCAAGGAGGGGCAGACAGATGTGCATGTATGTGGTGAGCTGGAGTCAAATAAAAACCACAAGACATCACAACATGCTGGGCTGGGCTGGGAAAGTGATGGATAAATGCCATCATCTCACCACAGGTGGGAGAGAAATCCATGCAACAAGCAACAGCAGCCAGTGAGTCCCACAGTCACAGACAGACTTGACTCCAGCGCAACAGGTTGTTGTGAATCTGCTTGCACATTTTTTCATTTAAATTGAAAGTTTCTTTCTGTTCATTCTATGGTGGTTATCAGTAGAAGGAATGCACAGTTACTTTTGCGATCATATATATTTGAGGAGCATTATTACAAAATAAAACGGTAAGACCACTTTGGAAGCATCTATGGATTTTTTTTTAAGTTTTAAGTGAGAGAGATCTCGATATTAAATTTGAGGGGAAAAAATAACTAAAAAAAAAATCTCTGACCCTCAGAGGCTCAGTTTCCAGAAAGGAATCAGATTCCTGCGGGGTAGAGATGAGGGTGGGGAAGGGGAAGGAGGGGCCAGTCACCTTTGAGGGAGAGGGATTTGGGGTGTCTTCTGCTGCCCTCTGCTGGCCGTGTGAATCATTGCGACCTTTATCCTGGGTTCGGAGAATTTGGAGAGCGATTTTGCCCTGCTGAGGGGAACGTGGGAGAGGAGGGTCTTCTCTGTGGGTCTTCTTAGGGACCCAACCCAGGGAGTTCATTGTGACCTAACCATCAAAGCCCTGCCTCAGTTCTCAGGAGCCCTCAGTCTTCCACACGCGCCTCCCATTTCCTGCAGCGTCCTCTTTCTCTTCTGGACTCTGCAGAAACTTCTGCCAGTTGAGCAGGCATCAACCACTCACAGAGGCCACACTCAGTGAAGGCTGCTTAGCGGCGAGGTCCTGGCCTGTGGAGTATTCCTTAGCCGGCTTTAAGGAATGTTTAAGTGGTAGGGAACAGGTCTATAAGCCACCAGAGTGGCTTCGGGAGGGGAGTGCAAGGGCCCAGGAAGGCTGGGGGGGAGGCTGCCTTTGAGTCAGTCCTCAGCGCTGGGGCAGTCTGTGGTGTTATCCTGACATTTATCTCTCCACATAAGTCAATCCTATCTTCTCCTGCTTGTTTTCTTTCCCTCAGTAGCCCACACAATGCCCAGCACTTGGGAGGAGGTCACAACAGTGGGCCTTGGTGTTTGAAGCACTCAGGTGTGGGAAAGTGGGTTTGGATGCATAAAACTTGAAAGCGGATCTGGAAGGTGCTTTTTTGAGCAAAACCAACGCAACACAGAGAAGTCAGCTCTCTCCTGTCTCCAGGAAGCTAACGGCCCAGCGTTCTCTGTGTGCCTTATCCCTTGTGGATTTGGGGACAGAGAATTTTTAACAAAATCTCCTCAGCCTCATCCATCAGCAATATGAGTCTTTGCAGTGGGTCCACCACACTGAGTCCCCCTTGCCACAAACTGAAAATCCTCTAAACTACACTCTTCACTCTCCTCCCAGACAACACCTGCTCCACTTAGCAGTCACCTGCTCCCAACCATCCCACCCAGGGACCCTATGCTGAGCAGGAACCAGAAAGCTCCTTGCAAAGGTTCTGGTCTAACTCCCCACCACAAGGCATCCGGCCTTTCACCTCTGCCTCAGCCTGTCTGTTCTCCTCCACGCTCAGACTGCTCTCTCCCCATCTAGCTTTCACTTGAGTGCAGACACTGATTGGAAGAGAGCCGGGCGGCCATCTGGCCCAAAGTGCCCTCTAGGCCAAGAAGGTTAAGTTCACAGTTACACCAAGTCTCACATCCTTCCACTACCAGCTACCAGCTGGGTGACCTCGGGCAAATTACTTGACCTCTCTGAGCCCCATCTCATTTCTAAAATGGAGATCTAAATAACACTTTCTCATACAGTGCTCGAGAGGATTAAATGGGCCAACATCTGGAAAGTGCTTTATAAAGGGCTCAGCACCTCGGGAGTGGAAAGGGAACAATTTCATCATCAAATCATTACAGACTGGCACTGCTTGTTAACCGGCTAGCAGAGTGCCTACTGGCGAATCTTTGACATTCAGCCCCTCAATGGCCTTGGAAGAAGCTGTTGCTAGGCATAGTGATTGGGGTGGGGGCAATGACAGCCCAGACCCCTACATCATACCAGCACTGCAGGACCCCAAGGAATTTTATCCTCCCAAAAGAGGCAATCTCGGCAGGCAAGATAAGACTAATTTGTAAAGCAATTAGTAAAAAAATACAAGATAGTTTAAAAGTACTAAATTGTTTGATGCAGACTATAATTGTGGTAATAACAAGAACCGTTTATATGGTATTTTAGCATTTACTAAGCTCATGTAATCCTCAAAACAAACAGCATGGTAAGTATTATAATTAGTAGATAAGGAAACTGAGGCTCATGGAGATGAAATCATTCATTTGTGATCACAGCCCCAGGAAGCAGATAACTCGGAAAGGCCAATTTCAATCTGATTCTAACATCATTTAGTTTCAAGATCCTTGCTTGGTCCACTACATGGGATGTGTGTGTGTGCAGGTGTGTACGTGTGTGTGCCTGTATGTGTGTATTTCCAGGGGTGAGTGCCTTTGCCCATGTCATCTCACTGGACCTTTTCCTCCACTCACCTCCGTGACTCCTTGTGATATCCAAAATATCCTGAGTTGCTGTCTCATGTCTAATTGTGTGCAGTGGTGTTAAGCTGGGTCACCTCGGGGATGTGACGGTCTCTCAAAGTCAGAATAGTCTCTGAAACATCCAGAGAGCAGGAATTTTGTGGCACCCTCTCCCCACCCCCAAAAGCTAAGACCCTCAGAAATACGACAGCCACCGGTTAGGTACCTCCAGCTCAGTTAAGCCTGTAGCATCTGGGACAGGGAAGAGCAGGGTTACTGCATCCTCTGGTGGCCTCCTGGAGAAGCACAATCGCGATCCCAAGTCCAGACCTGAATGTTGGTGAGAGAAAGCTCCCAGAAAGCGCCCCTGGAGGCCTGGGGACGGGTGGAGGCAGGAGAGCATGGTGATGGTCACTGGCTTGCTATGTGGTCTGAGAAAAATCACACACCAAAATTGAGACCAAGCTCCTTCGCTGTGCCACAATGACAACTTAGCTCATCTCTCAGCTCCTCAGTCTCCATATCTATAAAATGCAAAAGCATTTTACACAGCTGCACCTACATCACAGCTTGTGAGAACTAAGTAAACTCAGTTTTAGAATGCATTCCTGGGCACACAGTACATCTAACAGGGCCCATTATGACCTTGTGGGCCCCAGACACTTTTGATTTCCTGAGCCACTTCCTTCATAAAGATATTTTAAATTCTATTGTATACAGCTAACTGTGTTGGTATACAGGTAAAATACAAACAAGTCTCAGTACCTTCATTTTTCCTTTAATTTTAAGAGAAATTAAAACATTTTGGGCCCTTCCTGGCGGTGCAACAGGTGAGGATGCAGCATTGCAAGCTAGCTGCAGTTGCCTCAGTGTGGATTCACCAGAGACAGCGTGGGGAGCAGAACAGGCAGATCAAAGAAGTACACTGCTGAGGGAAGCAGCCAGCTGGTCAGAAGAGGTCTGAAGCACCCTGTGGGTCACCTCCGGGGCTGGGGATTGAACTCACACTGCGGCAGCTGCAGCTAGCTTGCAGTGCTGCATCCTCACCTGTTGCACCACCAGAGAGGGCCCCATAAATAACCCTTAAAAAAAAAAGAATTAAAACATTTTTGGGTGATCCCTGAGCATCAGACCCCTGCACCTCATGGATAAAACGAGTCCTGGATATTCCTCATGTACACGATTAGGGGTAGTGTCATCTCAGCAGCTCATTCCTTCAGGCATGCTCTTTCCCCTATCCTGTCCCCCTGCCCCTTTCTATCTTCTTTGTATGGTAATCACAGTACAGTAAGAGGGCGCCCTTTGGACTCCCCAGCAGCCCAGCCATAGAGTCCAGAGACTCAGCGGCTGTGAGAAAGGCAGAGAACAGCCTGGGGGACCCTGGCCTTCAGACCCCAGGCAGGAGAAGTGTCCGGAGTCACAGTCTGGGTCCTTCCCCAAGCTGGTGTTTTTCTCAAACCCCCCTTGAGCCACGCAGGATTTGAACACTGTAGCACAACTAAATCGGCAGCTAGCTGCAGAGTACCCATGTGTACACAGCTACGGGAAGCTCCAGACCACTGCAGCCCAGAAACACGAGTCACAAAGGTGGGCTGTGCTCATAACTTTACTGTCAGAAGAAAAGGAAAAAGAACGTTTTAACAATCTAGTTCATTTAACTCAATACAACAAAATATCCTTCCAACATATGATCATATAAAATTCTTAGGAGCTGTTTTAGATTCTTTTTTCATTCTGAATCTTTGAGAACATATTTTAAAATTTTTAATCAGTAAGGATAAATGGAAGAAGTTTCAGCCCATCATATTAAACAATGGATCTCATCTTTCAGCTTAGAGATCGTATCTACTGTGGGGAGCCATCAGACAAGGTAGGCGGGAATACAGACCCCAGGAAAGCTTCAGTGGGGGTTCTGCCAGAGTTCACAATACAAATTATTATTTCGTCAGACTGACTTGTGCAGCTTTGCAGTAAACAAGACATGAGGACCAAGACTTCCATAGTCCGTGGGAGGGGAACTTGTGGCCTCGTCAAGGACAGTCTCCTAGGGCCTGTCAGGGTCTGAGGCACAGAGGGAAGAGGTACATTTTCACAAGACAGAATAACTTGCTTTCTCTGGAGCAGGGTGCTGGTGGCGGCATTTATGGAAATGTAGGTGTTTGGACTTTATGGAGTAGCTGACAGGGTGCTTCTAGCTGCTGCAAATAAGCCTTGGTTTAACAAAGCAGGTACAGAAGCAACAGATGAAATGGCCTTTTGCAATTAGACACACTCTTTCCCTAACTCTGGTGGTCCTGAACCTCACCTCTGACTACCACCTGTGCCACATGCCCCAATCATTGCTCTGTTGCCCCCCCCCTTTACCTGGGGCAATGCGGAGCAGCTGGTGGGTGTGGCTCACAGCTGGGCACCACCACAGCCACTCACCAGCCTCCTGTCTCTGCCCACAGGCTGTGCTGTGTGTCACCATCACACCAAACACACACTTATTCCACGGAGTCCCACCATTTTAACAAAAAGGAAGGTATCACAGTCAGACCAAGCCCTCTGGCTCTGATTTGGGGAGCAGTTAACGGTGATCCCAGGTCTGTATTAGTGGAGTTAGCAGCCTCCACCTGCACAGGTAGGATCTGGAGTCCTCACCTGGCACCGAGTTGATTTTGTGTTCAGAATTCTTCATTTGCAGGCCAGGAGGTCTCCTACAGCAGTGATGTCACTGCACACTCTGGCACTGGTGTTTTGCACCCGCAGCCGTCACCCACAAGCCTCCTCCCCACAGTTGACCAGGCACTCTACCAGCAGGTGACAGCACAGGGCAGCCTCTGAAGATCTCCTAAGCTGACTCTTAACAGGGGAAGGTGCCCCAGCAGCTCAGCGGGCCGTGCCTCCCTGGCTGGAAGCCTGCCGGTAACCAACACCAGCCAGGCTACTGGGAGGCATCTAGGAAGTGCCGCTCCCACTGCCGGCTTAAGCTCTCAATCGTGTCCCGAAGCATCAGTGTCCAGTCGTCACCCTTCCGCATGGGGGTGCAGCGTGTCTCCTTGCTCTCCAATGCCAGGATCTCTGTGGGCGTCTCCAGGGTCAGCCCAGCAGCCAGGACTGCTTCTGGGAACTTGACTGCAGAGGCCGGAGCCAGGCAGCACCGGGGAGCACTGTGGGGGCTGAGGCAGGTAGGAGCAGGAGGTAGAGAAATGGGTAAAGAAGGGGCCGGGGAGGTTGGGAGGGGTGCGGCACAGAAGAGAACAGGAGAAACATTCTTGGAACCTGGAACTCAGCAATGACCCTGCCCAGCACCTGCCGCTCCTGACAGGCCAAGCTCCACGAGCACCTCCCACATACGCCCAGGGTAGTGATCACACACCCGCTCTCGGACCACAGTCCATGCAGCGCTGTCAGGCTCCTCAAAGCCATTTGTCCCCATCCTAGTCATCCCTGCCTGGGCAGAGGGCACCCGAAAGCGAAGTCCCTAGTGACCCAGGCATCCACAGCCCGTACCTGGGCACCTGCCCGTCCGTCTGCTGGTAATGGTAGCTCACAGCCACGGCCGAGTGAGGGCACAGCAGGTATTGGTTCTCCTCCCAGCAGCGACCCATGGCCTGGGTGATGGCCTCATTCGACACAGACTCAGATGTGACTGCCGCTGAAAGCTGAGGGGTCCAAGACCAGAGGGGTGAGAGGTGGGGTTATGGGGGAGCAGGGGAAAGGCCATCAAAACCCACCACATAACACAGCCGGGTAAATACCAGAGAGCAAATGTTAACACTAAACACATCTATTCAACTCAGATATCAATCTGGCTTTCCAGTTTTATGCTGATACATTTGAGATTCACAGCAATTAAGTTAGGATTTGGCTCATGAATCAGCAAATTGTACACAGTCTGACTGAACAACCTGACAAACAGAGGGTTAAGGCCATGCAGACATCTTGGTGCTGTGTTGGTGGTGGGATCCCTTCCTGTGATCCCCCCCGCACACACAACACCCCCTCTCGGGGCCTCCTTCTAGCCTCAGGCAGAGGAAGGGCCCTTCTCAGTGCAACCTCAGTGCAGACAATTTCTCTGACCATTCTCTGAAAAGGTACTGCATGTTGACAATGTGCTAAACACCTTGCATATAAACTGCAACCTGCAACAGAAAGCACAGGTATCCTAAAGTATTTACAGAGCTACCTGTCCCATCAGGGTTCACAGCAATCAATGAATTATTATCTTTGTATCTCTAGGACTCAGCAGGGTACATATGCAACACGAATGAATGAATGAATGAATGAATGCTGCCCCAGCAGATGGAGTATTTTTTATGTGACAGTCAGGGAGAAAATGAAGAAAGGGATGATATGACATCGGTTTATGGATCAACTTATTTACATAAGGAGAGAGAATGTGGTACCAAAAGAAGCCATTAGCCAAATAATGGTTGTGTTATGGTCTAAATGTTTGTGTCCCTCCAAAATTTATGTTTGAAACCCTAATCTCAAAAGAGGTGGGGTCTTTGGGAGGTAATTAGGTCATATGGGTGGGGCCCTCATGAATGGAATTAGTGCTTTCATCAGAAGAGGCCAGAGAGCTGGGTCATCTCTTTCACAGCATCACTTGGCAATGTGTGCAACCCCACAGCATCACGTGAGTTGGCAGTGTGCAACTTCTGTGGACGTTCCCCCCGACCCCCCCAGAACCAGCTAATTCTGATCTTGGAATTCTAAGATTTTGGTATTCTAACCATAGGGAATAAATTTCTGTGTTTATAAGCCATCCAATCTGTGGTACTTTGTGAGAGGAGCCCAAACTAAGTAAGATAGGTAGCATCCAAAGCATAGATTCTAGAAGATAGAAATTATGTCATGTAAAGAACAGCAATAAGAACTAAGAAGACTCATTAGGCAAGCAGAAATTCCCTTCCAATGTGCTGACTAGTCAGAAGGGCAGATTCTGGGTCAACTTAGGAACTTCATAATGATCTGAGCAGCTACAGGTTGGGAGTTCCCATCTGCTGGAGTTAGTCACAATCTGGTTGGGAGGAATGTGGCAGGGAAATTGACATATGAAATCCCCCCCCCTTTTTTTTTTAACATAAAAAAGGCAACCATTATCAGTTGCATTAAAATAAAAGCAATCCTTCACAATTAGCTGAGGAAACTACTCTGAGGAAATAGAATTTCAATTTCTCCTCATACTGGATGATCAAAGTGACTCCAGTTGTTGCTATTATTGAAAATCAATAACAATAAATGAATAACAATATTAGTTGATATAACAAGTTCCATATTGCCAAGCAGCATGCAAAGTGCTTCATGGGTATTCACTTAAGTCTACAACATTCTATGAGAGAGCCACTTTTAGAAACAGGTCTAGTTCTTCCAGCTGGCTTGGAGTTGTACTCCACCTAACTTTAAACCCATATTCTGTATCATCTTTCCTCTCCTCAGTGGTGCTCATGGAACTGGTATCCCTTGAATGAACAGACTTGCAACCCAAGTCTGGTTTTCTGGATGCACCTGTCCTTTCTCTCTGATGTGTGGGTGAGGACTGACCTTGCTGTGCAGTTCCTTGGGGAGACTCAGACTTTGGGTCCTTTCAAACTGCTCCATGAGGGCTCTTGTCGCCTGACTGTCAGAGTTGGATAAGAGCCAGAAGATCCTCTCCATGTTGTAGGGCACCTGGGCAGACAGACAGGACCCCAGGGACCACTGTGACCTCAGCCCTTGTCCACGCCCACCCAAGAAGCATGTGGGCCAGACCAGCTCACCTGCCCACAGGTCCTACCTGAATGTCCATAGCTGACGCTAAGGTTGACTTGACAGCCTTGGCCAGAGAGAAGTCTCCCTGCTTCACGGTCCTGTGGATGATGTCGTTGCAATTTACTGCTGCCACCAGGCGAAGGGGCAGCCCCATCTGCTGAGCGATACACCCAGCTTAACAAGAGAGAGGAGCACAATGGTTTCTTAGGCATGACAGCAACAGCACAAGCCACAGAAGAAAACATAGATAATCTGGACCACGGCAAAATTAAGGTAGTTGTATGCAACTAAGTCTAAGTCCAGAGCACACACTCTTGTCCCCTGATTCAGCCCTCCTGGAGCCAGCCCTTCAGGCTGCATCTCCCAGACAGCCACAGGGGGCGGGCAGCACCCCAGTCCACCCTAATAATAGCTCATTTGCACAAAACAAACACCCTGAGAGATGGAGGACCCACAAAAGTAATGTAGCTTCGGAAAGTTCTACGTAATTCCATGAATGGTTTATCTCTGCTGAGTAGGGAAGAAAAATTAGGGGTAAGCACAACACCCCACAGCATCACGTAATTTGGCAAAGTACTTTCACATTCTTATTTCACTAGATCCTCATGCAATGTTACGCTATCGTGAAATGGAGCCTCAGAGGCGCCCAAGGGCTTAAGGTCAAACCCCTGCAGTTCCTGACTGGCAGGAATAGAAAGGAGCAACCTCTGCCAATGCTTACTTTGTGCCAGGCACTGGGATAAGCACACACAGGCTGCACAACTCCAGGCGGCATCATTCCCTGGAGGACGCGGCTGATGGGGAGCACGGGGAGCTTCACCCCCGGGTGTTGAAGAAGGCTGAGCTGCCCTTGTCTAACTGCCAGCTCACCTTCTTTCCAGCACGGCTGGTGGGAAAAGTCAGGAAGACTCCTGACCAAGAAGCTTTCTTGGTCTCGCCTAAGCCACCCACGTGCCTGTCAGAAGCCACGCCACTGACAGTGGTCAGGGCCAGCAGTGCCCAATGGGAGGCAGCCGGTGAGGACCAGCTCCCGAGCCACCTGACTGAGCTGCTGACCGGGGAGCAACCGGGAGTAAGTCAGCAGCTTCTCTGTGCCTCATTTTCCTCACTTAAAGCTAGAAATATTCCTCATTTAACTCTCCTGGTGGTGCAATGAGTTAAAGCACAGCACTACAAAGCTAGCTGCAGCCGGTTCAGCTCCAGTTTGATCCCCGGCCAGGGAGCTGACCTACAGGGTGCAGCAGACATCTCCTGTCTCGCTTGCTGCTCCCCTCAGCAGTGTACTTCATTGATCTGCCTGTTCTGCTCCCCACTCTGTCTCTGGGGAATCCTCTCACCACCCCTGCACCTCTGGCCTGCACCCCAGCTCTGTATGCATAAATAAATAAATCTCTTTTAAAAATGGGAAAGATATGGAATAACATCCTCCTCATAGCACAGTGAGAACTAAATGGGTTGACATGTGAAAGGCACTCAGTGCTTCCTGCATAGGTAAGTGATTGAGTCACGTTAATTATCCTTCCAATGCCACACACTGGAATGCCACGAAGCTTAATAGCACTTTACCCTCACAAAGTTCACGCACATATGATGAATCTGATTGTGCCTCAAAGCAGTTCTGAAAAATATGATAAGCTGTGCAAGCCCCCTTCAGGAGCTGGGAGCTGAGTCTAAGGAACAGAGCCCCATCCATGGCTAGTAAAGAGCAGCGCTGACGCCAGAACCTAAGTCAGGCTTCTTTCCACCTCACAGTCTCCAGCACGTGGGCGTCTAGGAGTGGGGGCATTTGCTGGATGAGCCTCATGCCATGAGAGCAGGCAATGGCAGAGGCTGGGAGTAAAGTCTGTGTTTCTGGAGGAGGGCACTGCCAGCCTGGCACAGTGGCTGCACTTTGACCCCGCTCTGCCTGCTCTACTGAGCTACACTCAGGTCAGGCGACTGGAGCTCACCCAGGTTACCCCAACCTTGTTTTGCAGCAAGAGCCCAGAGATCCTAGAGAAAGTGAAGGGGCGGTTTGGGGGAGCTTCTTCTAGGCAGTTTCCCATCAGCTTCAATCTTTGTTCTCACAGCTGCAGCCAAAGGGCAGCCTAACAGACAGACAGACTCACGGGTATCTTCTGAAAGCCCATTTCCACAGGGGCCTCCTCACCTGCAAGGTTACCAGCAGCCCCCGTTGGCACAACCACCTCCACAGCAGGCAGCGGGCGCGTGTCCATGGAAGGTGCACACCGGAAGTAAGCGAAGAAGTAGTGGGCCATTTGCACAAGGACCCGGGACCAGTTGATTGAATTCAGGCTCATCAGATTGTGCTTCCTGGCGAAAGCAACGTCAGCAAACACCGCCTTGATTGGCTCATCAAGCTCGTCGCTGTTTCCCTCCACTGTGGGGGGGACAGAGATGAGGGCAGCTTTCGGGAGCACCAAGAGCCCATGGGTTCAGCACTCCCCCCCACCTACACTCCAAGAACCCCTCCTTTTGGGACCTTCATTCAGCCAGCCTTGGTTTCTTTATTTCCACCTCTCTTGCCCCGGCTTTCTAGTCTCAAAATTAAGCTCCTCAAAGACAGTAGCCATGTTTTATATTCTTGTGGTCATATTTCCAAGGTTTCTACCATTATATAAAAGAATATGTAAAATGTCAGCCTTCTGCTATGTGGGGAAAGGACTCCTCTTTGTATTACCTGACTACCTCCCCCACTCTCTGTGAAGAAGACAGGCTGGCTCCTCAGTCTGTGAGGTGGTGAGAGGCTGGTGCTCTGTCAGGGGCTAGAGGGAAAGTTGCTATTGCTTGTGATCTGCCATTCTTCCTGAATTTCTGTACTAACGCAGTTCGTACAATTGTCCACATGACCCATTTCTTAGGACAATTAACATATGTGTGCCCCTTAAACTTCGGTGCCCCAGGATAAAACCCAAATTATTTGGCTCTGGGAGGCTGAGCATGAACAAGATGCACAGAGCTGGCTGGCATTCTTTGGGGTACGGTTTGAAGCTTGTCCTGCTTTGGTTGCACGGTCAGTGCTGGTTTATGCCTCTGTCACCTCAATAGTTTTTGATTATTGTGTAGCCAAGCACCAGACCAGGGCTAAGCCAAGGCACATACAACCTAAAAACATGACTGGTGATAGAAGAAAGGTAGAAAGAGAAAGCAGGATGGTCAGCTAGTCAATTGATTAGTTTCCCTCCATCCCACTACCCAAAACAGACGTGCTTAAGGTGACGCTATTCTGTCCCGGGAGCCCCCAATTGCCACCTCCAAACACATGGACGTTCTCTCTCAGCACTGTTGTCATCTGCAACTCCTGAATCCTTGAGCAGTGACCCTTGGGCAGCAGAACAACAATGTCCACATTCTTGGCCCCTTGAACACTCTCAATGGCAGCGCTCCCTGTGTCCCCAGAAGTTCCTGTATGGGAAAAGAGAACTCGCCCTTTAGAATGAGAGAGATGAAAAGAAAAGACATGCTCCCTCAAGAATCATTGCCAAATGAAGCAATACCCACTTTCAAATCCTTGCAGGGTAGGAAGTTAGTATTTAAGCCGGAGTCCATGAGCCTCCATGAGAGCCATGGATAGAATTCAGGCACCTGCGAATTCAGTACCATAATCTTACACATTTAAGAGTATTATTCTGGAAAGCTTCCATAGCCTCAATCAGACTGTCAATAAAAATTATGAAGGCCCAGGGAACATTCCTGAGAGGTGTCAATGGAGAACATTCCATGGAAGGACACCCAGAAGCTGGGGCGCTGAGGGCTTCAGTGCTCACGTCACCCCACACACCTACCACCACGGTGACATGTTTCCCCCTTTTCTCTAGGAAGTACTGCAGGAACTGGGCTGTGCAGCACAGGGACAGGTCCTTGAACGCATACGTCGTCCCATGCCACAGCTCCAGCACGTTCAGCCCAGCCTGCAACCTGGACAGATGCACCACCTCCCTGTGGCGGAATCTGTTAAAGGCTCGGTCGATCAGATCTGGAAGGAGAGGAGGGTTGGACAGCAGGTGAAGTGCATTCTCTTCCTTCAAAGTTCTCGGTCTCTTCACACTATTGACTTTGAAGTTTCTATCTCCTGCTACCAAGTAAAAATCCTAAACAACACTATGCATACCTGTAATTGTATAAACCTAGAAAAGTCTGGAAAGACATGAACCAAACTGCTCAGATTCCTCATAGGGATCCTCTAGAGAGCAAAATTGCTGCAGTTAAGCGTTCACTTTCTACTTTATAAAATTCTTCATTGTTTGGATTTCATGTGAGCGTGTTTCTTAGTAGAGGTTCAATGAAACAGTTATGCAACAAACAAATCAACGCCTTATCTCTTCTAATTTTCCTTCCCAAAGATAAGAAGTTGTTTGGTTTTTTGCATTACTTAATCTCACACCTGTGATGCCAAAACCTTGGGGTGGCTTACATACAATCCTACCTAAGGCGGGCAGGATTGGCACAGCAATCACCTGGGATTTTCTTAAAATGCCGATTCTGGTTCAGTAGGGCTGAGCGAGTCTGCAATTGCTAAGTGCTGGTAACGCAAATAGTCCTGTCAATTGATCACAATTTCCTTCTTGGCCCCAACTCTCGCCACTCATCATGGCTTATCTCATATGGCTAAATCCATGGGCCGGCAGGACACATATCATCTGGTTACTTGACAGGGGTGCAGGATTTCCAGGCACACCCCGATTTGCTGAATCAGCATCAGTATTTTAACACGACCCCCAAGGGAAATCCATAGGTACATTACAATTTGAGACCAACTGGTCCAGGAGTAAGAGTTCCCTGTAGAATTACAATGAAAGAAATAACATTGCAATCTGAAGGGCTGGTTGCTCTACATGCAGGAAGGGAATATCCAAACAGCTCAGGGATGAAATTCCTAGCTTGAGAGTTTTTTTGGGTTTTGATTTTGGTTTTGTTTTTTTTTTTTTTTAAATCAACTAAAGGGGGAAAAATCTCTCTAGTTCACTTTGGCATTCATTGGAGTTGGAAACTGATATAGATGCATTCTTTGGGGCTATTTTCCCAGTCTAGAGGGAAAAGCACCAAATTTAGGAAACATGAGTAAAGACTTCTTGTGGTTTGAGTGGTGGATCTGCAACTCTGGGAGGCTGGGCTGGCAAGGGAAGTGGTGGGAGAGCAGGCAGGTAAGGAGGTGCTCACCATTTAAGTCGTCTCTTGGAATGAGCTCAGGACCAATGAACAAGCTGCACAGCTCCTTCACCAGCCCTGGGTAGGAAAGCGTGCTCCACTGGCGAAGGGTGTCTCCATCCAGCTGCGGGAGCTCCTCGGGCATGAAGAGCCCCCCGTCAGGTGCATAGCCAGAGAAGAGGGCCCCCTCAAAGTCGACCCGAGGGGTCATCCCCCTAGTGCTGACGTACCACATGATCCTGGAGGCCTGCAGAGGGGACAGTCCCAGAGGCACCTGGTCTCAGGCTCGGCATCCCAGGACACAGGTGAAGTATACACAGTGCCCCCTGCTAGCCCCTGGCCCACTCATTGGGGTAAGTGCCCCACACCGGAGGGTCAAATCCTGTCTGGAGACTCATGCCACCGTCACCTGGGGTTGTGCAAACAAATGACAAGCCCTCCAATGAAAATGAGGCAGCTCTTCTGACTGATGCCTTCAGGAGCAGGGGTACCAGAGCATATGATAGAAGAGGAGAAAGTTTGGTCCTCACTCGTGAGAAGGAAGGATTTTGGGGTGGGGAGACACAATAACAACAGGCAACATCTCTTAGATGGCCTCTCCACGTGGTCATACAGACTTATTTCTACTCAAAAAGATAACCACTTTCCATGGTTTATTTAGCAAAATAACCTAGAGTTTCTCTACTCTATTGGTTGTCTGAATCAACTGGGAGCTTTAAAAAACTACCCTTCCGTGAGCCCTATCTGAGGCAGTTACGTTAGGCTCTCTACACAAGAGGCTTCTCATGTGAGTCTAAGGTGCAGCCAGAGTTCAGAATGGGATGACCAACGTGCCCAGTTTCCTGGTTTTAGAATTCAGTGTCCCATGTCCCGGGCAACCCTTCCGTAGAGCACCCAAGGATAGCTGGCCATGAAGTTGAAAACCAGTGCCCTGCCTCTCAGCCTAATCCCAGCGGACAGTGCAAACTGCCCTTCCTGTTGCTTGTCCCTCCTGTTTAATGGCACCAAGCCTCAGCATTCAGGCGGCAGGGCAAAGCTATAGAGAACACACATCACTGGGGTCTGTGTCAGGTAGAATTAACTACTGCAGAAGGTGGTAGAGTTGAGGAAGAAAACCCAGCACTTTTGGGGACTGTTGTATAGGGGTGTCAAGCATCCATGGGGGTGGACTCTGACCTCTGATGTGGACGATTTGATCACTTGCCCTTTTGACTTCTCTGAACCCAATTTCAGATTTCAGAAAAACTGACCAGCAGCCTGGATAAGTAATATGGAAGCAGAAGAGCAAACTTTTCAAAAAGGGCTCCTCTGGGTGGCCCAGGCCTGAGATTTTCTGTGGAGTGGGGCAAAGCAAAACTTGGACCCCAGTGCCAGAATTCCTGGCCCAGCGCTGACCTGGTGGAATACTGCAGCAGTCCAAGGCCAGTCAGGGCAGACCCCTGCTCTAAATCACTGGCAGACCCCTGGCAATGTTCTCCTGCTAACCAGGCCCGGGGCCCCAGAAGGAAGGTCTGATATGGCCTGCAGGGTAAGACTCTACTTCCAGGGTCCTCCAAAGCCACCGCAGATTCCTCTTTTGGGGGGGCCTGGGGGTGGTACTCAGACCTACTGATACTCCGAAGAAGATACAAAGCCGCTAAAACACTCCACCCTCCTGAGTCCCTCCGAGAGGGAGCTCTCGAGTTAGCGTTACAGAAGGGAGGTGTGAATAGGTCAACGCGGCTCGCTGAAGTCAGGGTTGCCTGAGAAGGTGGGAAGATCCAGAGCTCGGAAATGCTGCTACCGATTACCCAGCGGAGGGCGCCGCGGTCGCGGGGAAGAAGCCTGGGCGCGGTGTGCAGGGCGAAGGCTCGGCCTCAGGCCTCCGGTGGGCTGTCCGCGCCGAGAGCTTGAGGGTGCAGAAGCCCGGGCTACCGGGTTGGCTAGTCTGGAATCGGGGCGTCTCGGGACTGCCGGGGCCAGCTGGGGCGGTTACGCGTCCGCGGGCCTGGCGGCTGCTGGGCGCTCCGGGAGTCCTGGCTCCAGCCTCCAGGCCTGCGCGCTGAACTCAGCAAAATGCAGACTTCCGGGCGGACAGGGAGGGGCAGGCGGAGCGGTGGAAGACAGCGGCCAGGAAGCACTGGAGGAGGGAGCCAGAGGGAATGATAAGGACAGAGAAACCGTTCACTCCTCACTTGCGTGTTTTTGAGGCTCTTTGCTAAACCCTTTATTCACATTCCTAAGTCAGTGCAGTCCTGGGACACTTAGGCACCTCAGAACTATCTTCAGATTAGAACACTGAAGACAAGCTGGAACGAAGATCCTTCTCTTCTTTGGGTTTCCTAGTTTTCACCTGCAAAATCACAAGTGGCATTATTTTAGCTCAGAAAATTCTTTAAAGGCAAACACTTTTTTTTAAATTGTTAAATTCAGATCTACTCTATAGAGTAAAAACACCTACCCAGTTTATTTATTTATTTTTAAATGACACTTAAATATATCCAAATGCCTCTGGATTCCTGCACACTTAGCTGGCTGTTTGAGGAGCTGGATGGAGAGAAGTGCTAAGAGTCAGTCCTGCCTTGGGCTTAGGCTCAAGACTGTTCAAGGGGAGTGAATAGTTATTCAACAAATAGTGATCAAATAACTGGACATCAACCTGCAAAGAATAAATTTGAACCCCTCCCCCAAATCATACACAAAAATTAGCTCATAATTGGGCTAATAAAATCATGAGTTCTCTCTCTCTTTTCTTTGTTTCTACAGGGTGGGGAGCGGAATAAGCAGATCAGTGAAGTACCCTGCTTCGGGGAGCCTGGGTCAAGACAGGAGAGGTCTGCCTCGCCTTGTGGATCCCTCCAGGATGGGGGCTCAAACTCCCACTGAAGTAGCTGCAGCCAGCTTGCAGTGCTGCGGTTTAACCTGTGGTGCCACCAGGGAAGGCCCAAATCATGAGTTCTCAATGCAGAGCATGATTGTTCTTGCTCTGGCAAGAACATCACACTGGCCAGGACTCACACTGTAGGAATAACAGCTCACATGTTTTAGAAAGTTCTTTTCACAGGCACTTAGAAACAGGGCTGTATCACAATCTAACTTCACCCCTGATGCTCTCATCTTGGCCCACTGTACTCCAATCATACAGGTTCCAGACTGTTCCTCAACCTGACAAACCTAGCGCCACCTCAGATCTTTGCTCTGACTTTTCCCTTTGCCTGGAACATTCCTCCCATAGAGGTCTTCCTTTTGATGCAGCCCAGTTTGCTCCAAACCCTAATTGTTCCTAATTTTAAAAAAACTCCAGAACTACTGTGTCTAAAACAACCACTGATGATCTTAATCCCCTATATTTTTCTACCTAGATTCATCACCACCAGACACTAAAGAGAGTCCCTGGAAATCTTGACTATAATGAAAAATCGCAATTACTCTGTCCCATCTCTAATTTATCCTATGACTCAGAACAGTGCCTGTACCCAAAAGATTTGCCTAAGGAGGAAAGGAGACTCATTGCAGTTCTGGAGATACTGACTCCTTCCCTTGTCTTTATGCCCCCAAGCCCCAAGGTTCTTATCACCACCAGGACCTGAGAAAATAATGAGTTAACTTTTCTTAATGACTAATGCTCTGAGTGTGGTTACATGTGGTTTTCAACAAACTTGAGAGACAAAACAGAATGTCAGTGTAGCACCTACTCAGGCGAAGAGAAAACTGCAGACAAGACTCAAGCTGACACAGGTTGGACAAAACGTGGATGAAACAGGTCTAGGTCTCTCGGAGGACAAGCCTGAGGCCACATGGGGCCAGGGCTCGCTGGAAAGGGCAGAAAGCATGAGTCAGACGTCCATCAAGTCTGGGCAAGGAGCAGATGTTGACTGTCTCGAACAGGCGTCTAGACTGTGAAAACTATGGCCCACGGGCCAAATCTGGCCCACGGCCTGTTTTTATAAACAAAGTTTTATTGAAACCCAGCTGGGCTCATTCATCTCGGTTCTATTGCGGCTGCTTTTGCACAACAGCACAGTGGGTTAGCTATGAGCTAGACCGCAGGGCCGCAAAGCCTGGATGTTTACAGAGATTTGCCTACCCAGCGTTGGATACAGTCAGAGAGGCAAAAGTGGGCAGCTGTGCTCTCAGAGGAGAGTTGGAATCTTCTTGGACGAGGGGGACTTCACATACAGAGTCAGGAAAACATCGACCAAGGGGAAGGAAGGAAGACACCAGGAGTGGGGGAAGATGCAGGTCACACATGGATGCAGGGGCAAACGGAGGCTTTCAACACTGGCTACATTTTAAAAGAACTGTAGTGGTAGGAATTCCATGGGTACAACCCAGATGGAAAAGCATACAAAATGAAGAATGATGTAAATATATATATGTATGTATGTGTATATGTATATGTATTCATATACACGCATATATATATAATTACGAAAGAAAAGCAACAATAGTTAAAATTTTAAAAAAGGAAATATGTGTGTTACTGAGGGGGGGTGGGGGGGAAGTAGACGTGAAAGCAGCAAGCGCCAGAGCAGAGGGGAGGAGGTAGAGAGGGAAGCTCAGGGCAGGAAGGAGCCCTCAGAGCCATCCAGCATCTTCTGGAACCGGAACCGGAACACATGGAGATTCTCTCCTTCTGGGCCTTTGCTCCCACCGTGGCCACTCATTGGCTGCACTGCCCTAGAAGGAGGTGCAGCCTTGGGGGAGGCTGTTCCTTCTGATGATACAACCCCAAGGTTATGCAGAGAAGACAGTTCCCAGAGCTGGGGGAAACTCCTCCCTCCTGAAGGGGAATGAGGGCCAAGCATTCCAGAGTCCACCTCATTTAGCAAACGACTTGCTTTAAGAGAATTAGATATCTCATTCTCTTGGAGCTGACCTTAGCGAAGGACTGGACGTTTAATCTGTGATTCAATTACATATGTGAGAAGTAATTAAATATTTTCTCTCTACAATGTGTACACTGTACACATAAGGAGTACCAGGAACTGGGCCAGACTCTAGGTATGAAACAAGATCTCTGCCCTTCAGAGATCCCCACAGCTTGTGGAGTAGAGAGATAGGAAAAGAGAGACAGAGCTGAGCAGCCCGCCTGAGAAATGCTCTAAAGGAAGGCCTGAGGTCCAGACGTTGCAACTCAGGTTTTCAGGTATAGGAAAGACCAAAGAGGATTTCTGTGTACACACTCATGTCAGAAAGCTAGCCGACACAGTGCATTTGGCTCTCCTTCCTCCTGGGATGGAGTTGCCATTCTGAGTTTCCCAATGTTTTTTGTCTTTCTGATATGTGTTTATATTTACTTCCACTAGATGGCAGTAGTTGGTCCAAAGTGCTGGCTACAGTTGCTTTAGTGCAAAGCTGGCTGGAATTCTGGTTTTGGTTTTAACTCTATGGAGGGTTTGGAGGGGGTGGGGGTGGGCGGTTGACTAGGTCTACCAGGAGAGGCAATAGGATTTTCAACTTTTAAAAAATTTGTACATTAAATTGTGTAAGGCACACGTATCGATGTGCCCAAAAGAGTGTGTGTGTATGCACAAGCAGTTAAAGCCACAATAAGATGTATCACGCCCCCCCGCGCCCATCCCCCCCCCCCGAAAATGACTTGCATCAAAGGATGACTTACAAGTGTTGGAGAGGATGTGGAGACAGAGAAGCCTTTATACAATGTTGGTCAGAATATAAATTGTTGGAGTCATTTCAGAATATAAATTGTTGGAGTCATTTTAGAAAGTGGTATGGACCTTCCTCCAAAAAATTTATAACTGTCGGTTTTTAATGGTCTGTTTATCTACTTTATAGGAGTGGCATTGGTTTACAATACTATATGCATTTTAGGAGTACAGAACTTGATCCAGGAGCCCCACTTCTGGGAGTGTACTGAAATGTGAGCTGATTAACCCTAAGCGTCACATGCCCCACATGTGATATTTATAATGGCTAGATACGGAAGTGTCACTGATAGATGATGGAACAGGAATATGCAGCATGTACATGCATACTGTACACTACTAGTCATTCTGCCAGCTGTAGCAAAATGGAAGAAACTTGAAGGTATTATGTGAAGTGAAATAAATCAGAAAGATAAAGCAATATCAGATGATTACATCTATATGAGTTTTATACAGAAACAAAGCAGATGAACAAACCAAAGAAATGAAAATACAGTAGTAGATATTGTTAATCAAACTGAGGTTCCAGCGATGAAGAGGTGGGAAGTGGAACAAAGATGGAGGAAGTATAATGGATGATGGTAGACGGTCTTTTTTTTTAAAAAAATTTTTTTTGTTTATTTATGCACACAAGAATTGGGGTATAAGCCAGAGGCACAGGGGGTGTGAGTAATAGGACTCACCAGAGACAGAGTGGGGAGCAGAACAGTGAAATACACTGTTGAGGGGCACAGCGAGCGGGACAGGTGAGGTCTGCCATGCCATGTGGGTCAGCTCCCTGGCCAGGGATCAAACTCTTGCTGCAGTGGCCACAGTAGCTTCATAGTGTTGCTCTTTAACCCCTTGAGCCACCTAGTGTAAGTCTTGATAATACATCGAATAATACCTGTAGTAATAGAAAAAGTGAAGGAAGAGATGAAGGAAAGGAGGCGGTGGGGGAAGGAAGGCAGGAAATGGGGGTGGGAGGGATAGAGGTAAAAAATGATATTTAGAAATGCAGAGAAAGATACCAGGAAAACAATAGCTAAAAGAGTAGAAAGTGCTTGAGATCATCCTTCATTGTGTGTGTGTTTAATTCCAGATAGGGTTCCCAGATTCTTACAGTTTATCATGCCCCCAAAACTTAAGAAGAGATTGCTAAACATCATTTAGCAAGAGATTGCTAAACACTCTGATCTCGCCGGTCTGTGCAGGACCCAGACATATGAGTGTTCAACATGATGCAGGAGCCCACTGAGCCACTGTAGGGAGTTCTGCTCTGGATGCAAGAGTGGGCAGAGAGCGGAGGGGAGCCAGTGCACTCCTATCCATTCCTTTCTAGCTGTGGGGCTTGGAGTCCATCACTTCACTTCTCTGTTTCCTTGTATTTTCAAAGGATCCCAT